AGATCTTCATTCATTCATTCAGACAAACGAATAACATCGATTGCTGAAAAGCAAGAGTTGGACATAAGCAGATTACACTTGTCTTTTCGTCAAGAGATAGGTTTGATCTGTTCTCAGCTGGTTTACACTTAATATTATCTCCGGCATCAAATTATATTTTGAATTCATTTCTTCTGATTTGATCCAATACAAGTCTCAACTTATTCAACGATATATGTCAAGAATGAATAATAATCAAGTACCATTACAGCAACAACAACAACAACAACAGGCACCACCACTACAATTACCTTTAGGTAGTGGTGGTGTTTATGGGGGCAATCAATATAATTATCAAAATGGTTACCAAAATGGAGACAATCAATACGGTTATCGAAATAGAAGCAACCGATATTTCTATTCGAATCAAAATAGAAATTATAATAATCGTCCTCGTCGTCGAAAAAATTCTTTCTTCAATCGAAATTTCATGCAACAACAGCCTTACTTTAATAATGCTGATTATAACAATGATGGCATGATGATCAGTAGACCATTTTTACCAAACCGACGATTTAATCAAAATCGACAGTATAATCGAAACAGGCAATTTAATCAAAATCGACCAAGAAGTCGTTCAAACGGTTCCACTCCAATTCCAAGAAGAAGTCGATCTGGACAACGGTGCACTCCACGACCTCTACGATTAAATGATTTTATGCCATCAGAATTACGAGATAATTCACCAAATGCACAATATCTTGCTTCAAATTTCAACTTGGCTACTACGACTACAGATGCTACACCTGCAGATGCATTACCACAACGTCAACGTTTTGCACTAACAGCAGCTAGTAGTACTGATACTACTCAACCATTTGCCATCAGTAATCAGGCAGATGGTGCAAATCAACAACAACAACAACGAACAAATAATGGTCAACGTCAAAGAACTACTACAGCAGCACACAGACGTCGTCAACGCCGTAATCATCAACAGCAATATCAGCAACAAAATCAAGCAGATGATAATCCAAATCGATTTGTTGCACTTGCTGAAGACGATACCAGTAATCAAATAGATACTGAAACGACTATAAACGATAGACCTGC